ATACATGAAGCATACAAAAGTTATATAATATAATATGTGTAATATACATATATTACTTTTTACTAAATTAGAAATAAGTATATTATAATAAGTATTATATATATAAGTAATAAATATTATTATTATTATATATTACTCATTATATTATACAATTTTTATATTATATATCTATTGTATGCTTCGTGTATTTAACATTCAATATTATTATTCAATATATCGTATTATTGGGCCACTTGTCATTGAATATCATAATTCCTGGAGTATCGACGAATTATGAAAATTTATGACTATTGTCGAATTACACGTTCACATCGAACATCGAATTTTATACCCGCCTGTAATATTGATACCGATTGCACATTCCTTTTTCGCGTGTGCGTGAATTATTAAGGGCGCGATACATCGAACTGAATATTAATGAAATGCCTGGAACAGCTGCTGGTCAGTTGGAACGCGCCGTGGCTGTACAGATTTCTAAGTTTGTGGCAAAACGTTGACACGGGTCTTACCGGTACGAAGTCTGTTGCAATTAAGCAACTGTTGTACAACTTCCCATAACATCGTACGACATTCCTGCGTTTTTATTTAGTCAGTGTGTTTGTTTAATGTGTTACGAATTTTGATGGCAATGCATTGTAAGATTTTTTTCTCAGTTAATAAATTATTATCGACAAATATATCTCTGTTGTCGTTAACTAAATACTCCTAACAGTTAATTTCAATTCTTCTTCGACGAACTTTCACGAACGAAATTCTATTTTCAAATTTGCAGCACAAGAATATCACCTGAAACTACGGATATCTTTAATTTCGTAAAGTATTGAGAAATTATGATAAATCATTCTACTTTATCAAATTCTGCCTTTTAGGGTTCGGAATTTTCCACAATTCTATGTACAAAATTTTGTGAAAATCGAAGGGTACACAACACGTTCCGCAATTTCAAATTGTCGAAATTATTTACGACACTCGCTTTTGTGAAATTCGAAGGAAATTGAGTTACCCGCGACACACGGCGACGAACAGGTGGAACGAACACGCGTTCGAAGCGACACTATCGTACCACGCTAATGCACACTATCTGCTGTCGAATGATTAGAAAAAGAAAGGGAGAAGAACGTGTGCTGGTGCTGGTGGCGAGGATGGCGAGGAGGACAAAACGATTTCGAAGCAGGCTGGTCGTAGATTCGACGGCCCCGAAAAACGTCGAGCGACGACTCGATCGCGAGATTAATCCATCGGATGTAATTGGAAGGTCGCAGCCCGGTGTCACAGGCCCGGGAGATTTACGAGCACGTGTGTCCCGCGCACACACGGGTCATTCATGCTTTTGTTTTTCACCGCCGGGGAATGGCAGGCCTGCCGCGCGCGACAATAAAGACCATTTCGGCGCACGAAGGAGCCGCAAAAGCAGGAAATTCCGGCGAGAATAATACTCGCCGGCCGAGCGATACATCGATCAATCTTCGTCAGTTTCGACTGGTTCGTTCGTTGGATCATCGGCTCGCAAGTATGCGAGGAATCGGGGAGAAATTTCCCCTCGAAATCATCTCCCCGTGGAATGAATACGATGACTATGCGGTAAACTCCCAAGTGCAAATCGTTTTATACTTGTGGAACACCTTGTACACGTGGTACTGTGGGTCAAAGAAGCAACGATCTAGTAATTTCGTAAAAAAATATTCAAACAGATTTAAGTAAATAAAATTCAATTAAATCTGAATAAATATTTAAATTATTTATAAATAGAGCTAGTTCCTTTTATTCTTGTTCCCGATGATTTTCGATTAACGAGTTGTGCAATGATCATACGAATAATATGAAAATTCGGTTTCATTCTCAAAATTCGAAGAACGATTGTACAGCTATTAGATGAAAACTTCCCTCGAATGCTCCAAGAATCTAGAAATGATTTAAATAATAATTCTCAATTAGAATGATTCCGAAGCAAAGTGAAAAGAAAATTGACGTGATAATTAACAAATAAATGGAAATTAAAATATCGTGACTTTATCAGTTGTAATAATGGTACCACATTTTGACATGAGAAAGAAGATAAGATATAGATAATAAATTATATATAATTTTATATAAAATAATATATTATATTATATGATTATAATATATATATATATATATATAATTAGATAATATATTATATTATAATTTATATAAGATAATAAATTATAATAAAAATAGATGAGATATAAATTAAAAAAAGATAAAAAAAGCTAACATGTAAAATAAAGAATATAAAAAAAAAGATAAGATATATAAAAAATTATAATAATATCTAATAAAATATACACTAAATTACAAAATAAAAAATTCCAGTTGAATAATATTTTACAGAATATATATTCTACCAGTTGAATAATATTTAGAAAGTAAACTTTGGGAGTTCTTTAAATTTCTCTCTCTCTCTCTCTCTCTCTCTCTCTCTCTCTTTTTCGTCGTTCCTCGATTCTTTCTCGATTCGGGACCACCGTGTAAACCAACCCCAGCGATATTTCATTCCACGGCGGCAGATAAAACCCAGCGAGCGGAATTCGCTATTTTTTTCCCCCGAAAGTTCGAGACTTTTTGCAACTCGCGCTCTTGCGTTCTTGCTTTGTGCGTTCGCAACATGTGGCGCGCCATCGTCGAGCAGAGGGTCTAATTTTAATTAACGCGGGTATCGAGAGACACTCCTTTGTTTTATTCAACAACCGGTTCGTTGTAACTGCCGGTATTCGTCCGCGTCCGGGGATATTTTTTCAAAATGTTTTACAGACCCACCCGTGTCGGTATTAGCTGTCACAACGTGTTGTATACTTCGTCAATGATTGAAGGATATACGTGTGTTTTATTTATAAAAAAAAAAGGAAAAAAAAAACAATGCGTCGTTGAACGGAAGAAGTGCTTCGTTTCGCGAAATTTGATGTCAAGTGGATTTCTTTTACAGATTGACCCAGTCGAAATAAATGAAACTCAATGAAAAAAAGGAATTTTTTAGATCTCGAGATTTGACGCGTGATCGTTTATCCAGAGGCACAGTTTCTTAGATGACTTTTCTCTCATCGAATGTTTCAGCTTCTCAAGTCAGTGTAGGACAATTGAAACACGTGTCACTTTCATTATTTGATTATATTTTGTATTTGTTGGAATACAAACTTTGTATCCGTGATTCAACAATTCTTCGTTCTCCAATGAAAGACACTTTTCAACACGTTTCAACGAGTATTCGACGCAAGATCTGAAGACGACGAATCATAATGAATTCATCTCGATACACCAAGTTTTTGACTCACATTATCAATGCATTGAATTTTGAAAGCAATCGTTTGTAAAAAAAAAAAAAAAAGAAAAAAAGAAAAAAAAAGAATAAGGACGCATCGACGCTTCGATAAACTATCAATTTCAGCAAAGCGGTGAAAGAAGAAAGTATTACACGCGGGCGTTACCGTAAATTCCTATAGGTCGCCGCGATGAATGCAAGTTGCAACTGCGAACGGATTACGGGTGGCGCCGACAAAGCCCCCCCTCTCTTTTATTTGCAGCTACGAGCGCGTTGATCATCGGAGTCGACATCAAGTCGCCTGCAACCGCGGGAAACTCCGGCTTACGGAGATTTCCTCTGGCTCGGGCATTGTTCGCGCGGATGTATTCCAAAAATCGCGAACTGAATGATATACAAAGGACAAGGAGAAGAAGCAAGGAGCAATCTTTGGTCGAAGAATGAGCTGAGAAACAGTGGCGAATGAAATAGCGTTGGAACTAAAGAGAAACGTATTTCCAGAGATTATTAGATATTTTTATATTTATATCGATTGAAGTGTCCGCTCGATTTTTCATATTCCTTTTTCTTTAATTATACATTTTTCCAGGACGATGAAACAATTATTTTTATTACTTTCATATGATTATAAACGATTACTAATAATCATGGGCAATTATTATTTCAACTAATAAATTCCACTTGCGTGTTTCAGAATATTTTTCTTCAATTTCAAATACTGTCTTATCTCGGCGAAAGCGTTTCAATTGTTATTCGCAAGATTTTTTACTTGAAATATGACGTAGGTCGTGAAAATTACTTAATACAAAGTCTGGATATTGAAATATTACGTCAAATAATCAAGACGTTGTGTTTTAGTTGCTACTTTATATCAGTGCGGTTCAAACAAGTAGTATTAGTCAACCGTAGGTCAGGTGGTTACTCTAATATTCACTTCCCATCGATTCTGACTTTAAATTCGTGTTTTATATGCATCTTTGCAACGATTCTTAATATTCTGCTTTATCGCGTTTAGAATTTCATCCAACGCTAGTCAGTCAACAAATAGTATTGGTCAATCAATAGTCAGACACGATCCTATTATTAATCCTTCATTGAATCTACGTTTAAATTCATATCATTTCTGCAGTAATTACCAATATTTTGCTTCGTTGGAACTCCGTCGAAATAGTATTTATTAACAAATAAATATTAGAAATCTTTGCAACGATTCTTAATATTTTGCTTTATCACGTTTAGAATTACATCCAACGCTAGTCAGTCAACAAATAGTATTGGTCAATCAATAGTCAGACACGATCCTATTATTAATCCTTCATTGAATCTACGTTTAAATTCATATCATTTTTGCAGTAATTACCAACAATTTGCTTCGTTGCAACTCCATAAATAATATTTATTAACAAATAAATATTAGAAATAAAATTTTGAATCATTTTTACTCGAAACGTGCAGGACTCGTTTCACTGGAATAATTCTTTGTATAATGCACGATGACAGTATTATTATTCAGAATAAGAATAATAATAATAATAATAAACTGATAGAAATAATTCACTATTCATTTTGAATCGCCGTTCTCCATTCTGTTTGGAACGTAACGCGAGATTTTCCGGGACAATGAGCGTTTCGTAGGATCACCATGTGGAGGCGTAGCAGTCGTCGGATTCATCGGAAGCACGTGGTGGTGGCAGAGGTCGCTTCTAAGACTCGCAAGCTTTCAAACTGCAAGCAGTCAGTCGCCAGCCGACCGTGCCGCGCGAGTCGCGTGAATTATGTTTTGCCCCGTGTTTTGTCTCGTAACGCCGTGACGACGACGCTTGGGGAAACGCGGGACCTGTGGATCGTCGGTAAGATCGGTAAGTTCTCAGACAGACAACGAAACTTATCTGTCCCGTCGTGGTAATTAAGGTTTTAGGATTTTTATTGCACGAAAATACTGGAAACTTTGTAATAAATTTTGACAACAAGAGGAGAAAGTTATCCGCGAGTTTTGAAATTGAATGTGCAAGGATTCGAAATGTTTTTTTTTTTTTTTAGATATCAATTGAACTTTGTGTGTGTATTAATTTACTTAGTCTTGTAAATTAATTGTAACGAGTTACTGTAAAAATTTGTTGTACCTCCATAAAAATTATAAAATAAAATATAATAAAAATTCTCTGCCTGTTAATACAGATTGATTGCTAAAATATACTTGTATTAAATACATACAGCTTTGTTCGATAAAATTTTTAAATGTTTCGTATGATATACATAAAATGTATAATTGTAAACTATTTCTGCAGCTGCTCGAATACTTTCGTGAGCATCGTTGGAAAACAATTTGACAGAGCGATTCGACTCGTTCACGATACTTCACGTTAAATCTTTACTTTACGTTTGTTTCTCACAATACGCTAAGAAAATAGAAACTTCTGTACATTCTAATCGTCGACGAGAGACAGTTATTGCACAAGATGTGAGATAAAAATGGAAATTAAATCACGAGACTCAGGTAACTTTTACTCGATACTTGCCGAGGTTTAGGTTCGAGATAAACGTTTACACGTGTTAATTCACGTGCCTTTCTTCGGTAAATTAGCCAGATGAATATCGTTCAACGAGCTTCCCCAGAAAGTTTCCCAACTTTGCTTGCGCGGGAGAGTCGAGAAATTTCAAAGACACCTCGATATCTTGCCGCGTTCGTTTCGAATTCGAAGCCTCTACTTTGAAAAAGAAACCCGCGAATTTGAAAAATCCAACGGGGAACGCTAATCGTTATTCTTTTTCTTTTCGACAAATGTCATTAAAATCGTGTGTGATGAATATAATGTACCGTGTATGCATAATACGTTACGCGCGAAATGATATTGGAAAATTCAGTGGGTCGAGCGTTATTAATTATTTCAACATCGTTCTATATAATCTCGGCACCACTGACTCTTTAATCCCGACGTGTTAATAATCCAAGCACACCATTTGTTACACGCGTTTGAAGTATACTTATCGTTCGTACCGTCATTGAGTCGTGATATCTCGCGTGTTAATAATCCAAATGTAACATTTGTCACACGCGTTTGAAACACATTTATCGAGGCATCGCGTCAGACATTTCACACTTTGAAAGCTGTCTCTTTGTTTCTTTCGTCGGGATTCGTTGAAAAGCGCACACTTTTCGTCGAATTAGAATCACACGGTGGGAATTTCAACATCGTTCCAACGACACTACGTTGAGAATTTCATTCTTGCCCTCGTGAATTATAACAAACGTTTCATTGTACATGAAACACTGGCACGCGATTGTATTTATTGTAATACGCGACGCTTACATGTTAATTAATCAGGTTCAAGTATATTAAATGTAACAGCGCCTTCGTACGACCATGGAAATTTAGCGCTACGAGAATGAAAAATACAAATTAAATATTAATCGAACGAAGGCATGAAAATAGGCATGGAATTCTAGGCCATTTTAAATTGAATGACAAACTGAAGCAACAAATATAAATATGTTATGTGGATGAAGATCAGTTCACGCCCAACATTTATTAATTCTGTTGCCAACAAATTACTATTTATTATGTTGCAATAATGTTGAGCCTCGCTATATGTTCAATTCTAGCTAATGTGAATACCGTTTCAAGTTCAATCAAAACACTTCTTTTTCATTGTTCGTCACGATCTGTGTGTTCGTTAATTTCCAGTAATTATATTTCAAATTTGGAAATAATATTATTTTATATAATAATAATATTAATTTAAATTATTTAATATTAATTATAATATATAATAATAATATTAATTTAAATTATTTAATATTAATTATAATATATAATAATAATATTAATTATTATAATAATATTATATTATATTATGTTATATTATGTTATGTTATGTTATATTATGTTATATTATGTTATGTTATATTATGCTATATTATCTTATATTATATTATATTATATTATATTATATTACATTATATTATATTACATTACATTATATTATATTAATATAATATATTTCTTCTGAAGAGAATTTAGAGCAATTCAAATTACGGATTGGATCTAAAGGAGAAGAAAAGAAAGTGTGATCGCCGTTTGAATCCTCTCTATCTTTGTTACGTAAAATTCAGCCAGCATCTAAACACGATCGACACAATTGCATATGCAGTGATACTCGTCCAGTGACCATGCATCTTTCCGCGTGAGATCGATAGCCAGCTCGAGTCCCTAGCGGCGACTAATTACGCGACTTCTTTTTTTTGTTCGACACGACGCGCTCGTTATACGGTAGCTAATTAGTTTCCTGAACGGCGTCTGCCGGGGAGGAACGAGAAGAAAGAGAGAAGGCGGGGGAAAAATGCTCGGGACATCTTAACTCGTGATAATTATAACGTGTGTGTATGGTGGCATTCAGAATCCGGCGGAACGTTGACGCGGTTCGTGAGCACGCGCCGACTTCAATAAAAGCCACGAAAAAGCGTCGTCTAACGACCGGTCGTCTCATCAAAAACTCCCGCCTCGTCAAAGAGCGAACCACACCAGATACGATACGTTATTCAATGAGCGTGCACTCGGTTATTTACGAATCCATTTTTTTTCACGAGATTTTTCACGTGGAAAGCAGCTACTCGGTAGGCGTGACAACGCAAGTGGACAAATTTTGGAAATTCTTGGATTCTCAGCATCAAAATTGCTATTTCGAAATTATCATGCACGCACGTTGAACTATTCAAATTCTAATCGATTCGCGGATACTTTAATATAGAGAATGGGCCAAAAGTTTCTTCCCAACCTGCTTTTTCTTTTTTTTTTTTTTTTTTTTTTTTTTTATAAAACATCCAAGTATAAGAAGACACTGATTTTTATTAATTTTAACCGTGATTTTTCTTTCGTTACGTTTTAAAAATTACTTCTCCCAAATGTTGACCGCCAGAGCGTTTCGAAAATTTAGTCATTTATTTTTATTTTTTCATTTATTTATGCTGCTAAGAATACTTTGGATGAAAGAAGTCGTTTTGCAATTGATCAGTTCAATTATTGATACTATAACTGGAATTCAGAGACATTTTGTTACATTCAATTCTTTCAGATTCTATCAATTGTGCCAATCGATATAAATCGATTTTCCAATGTTAAAAATGAATAAAATTCGTCTTGTTAATAATGACTATCGTTTCGCGGCAAAATTTTCGTGCTTTTGTTCGATTCGATGGTTTCATTAATCTTTAGCTTTTTCATAGTGTACGAGTTCTATAAAGATAGGCGACAGGAGTCTGAGAAGATAAAATATATGGGGGAATAAATTTCTCTAGAAGATAAAATATTATTTATATCGATCCGCGCTGTGCGTAGCTGTGCGCGAACTCTGTATATCGCGCATGTACTCGCGACACAAAAGTCGGCAGTTTGCAGGAACTTTATCCGCGAGATCTTCGTAATAACAATAAGGAGTTTTCATCGCAATAAGCAAAGTTTCGATTGTCCGGATCTGGCCAGGTACGCAGCGCTGCTCGAGGGAAGTTGCGGTCTCTCGCGAGTTTTCTCCCGCGACTCGATTTCGTTCCGTGAGATTGAATATTCCGGAGACTTCGGTCGTTACGTTACGAGCCCGGCAGCTCGTTGGCGGAAAGGGCGCGCCGAAAGGAAATTGTAAACGTTTGCGGAATAATTATCGGTGCCATTGGACTCACTTCTTCCCAACTTCACGATCTTTTCGTTGCACGAGAATCGACGGCGGCCGATTCCTGCGAAATGAGTTACTTCGCTCCGTCGGTAAATAGCTCTGTTTGCTGCGAGGAAAGACACAGAATAATTTTAAGTAAATTTGGCACAATGGCAAACTTTAAAGGTGAGTTTCTTCTCTTGGAGGACTTCGAATTTAGGAAATTTCAAATTTGGGAATTTATGTTATTATCAAAGTAACAACAAATTTGAGGGGAAAGTAATTTTTAAGGTGAATTAATAATTTTTTGAAATTTATTATTTCTCGAGTTCTCTAATTTTACAATAGCAAACTTTAAGGGTGAATTTTTGGAAAACTTCGAATTTAAGAAATTTGAAATTTGGGAATTTAAATTATTATCAAAGTAACAACAAATTTGGGGGGAAGATTAAAGTAATTTTTAAGGTGAATTAATAATTTTTTGAAATTTATTATTTCTCGAGTTCTCTAATTTCAAATTTCTCTCCTTTTGTGCAGGAAGGAATACGAAGTTAGTTTTTAAGTAAATTTGGAACAATAGCAAACTTTAAAGATGAATTTTTGGAGAAGGTCGAATTTAGGAAATTTGAAATTTGGGAATTTAAATTATTATCAAAGTAGTAATAAATTTAGGGGGAAATTTAAAATAATAGTAATTTTCGACGTGAACTAATAATAATTTTCTTAAATATTATAATTTCTCGAGTTCTCTAATTTTAAATTTCTCTCTTTTTGTAAGTTTGCTTGTTGCAAGAACAGGCACAAAGTAAACTTTTAAATAAGTTTGGAACAATAGTAAACTTTAAGGGTGAATATTTGGAGAACTTTGAATTCAAGAAACTTTAAATTATTATCAAAGTAAAAATAAATTTGGGGAGAAATTTAGGAAGAGTAAATTTTTAGACGAACTAATAATTTTCTTAAATTTATAATTCCACAAGTTCTCTGCTCTTAAATAGCTCTTTTTTCATCAAACATCAACTAAAAAATAAAATTCTATTTGTTTTTCGAATTTTAAATGTGACATTTTATTTGAGAGGTGCGGAAAATATTTAAGAGTTTCGTTTTCGAAATATTTCATTCATCGTACACATTATTGATGGATCAATAATCATCCACATTCGGAAAATACAATATTTCAATTTCCACAATAAGAATAATAATT